AACAGAGAGACAAATAGGAAAAATCTTATACTTCAACATCCTCCATAGTGCTACAACTACCTCCCTAGGTTGCATATCACCATAAATACTGTCAATTCAAAGCATACTGAGCAGGATTTTGCGAGGAACGGTACCTGGAGCCCTCAATTCATGAGCTGGAGAAGGTGTTGCTGGACCTCCTGCATATGACGAGCCCGGCCACGCTCCCTCTCAATGTGAGCAAGGGTGCCCCCTGCTGGGCCTCCATGCGGTAGAGGCGCTCATCATATGCAGCCATCCGGGTGTTATACTCGGCCTGGTGGGCCGAGTATTATTGCTGGAACTGGAGATGATGCTCGAGGAGCTGTTGATTCTGAATATTCAGCAGCTGGAACTGGTGAGAGAAGTAGTCGTGGGGTGGAAACGTAGAGCTACCACCTTCATGCTCATAGGTGCTCTGGTGGGGGGCAGGGTGGTCGGGAGCAGCGTCCACATCCTCGGGGGCAGCATCATCAAGGACTGCGGTCTGATCCTCCGCAGGGATGGGGGGGACAAGAAAGCACTCAACCCATTTGACACCGCGGGAGACTCTCAACAGGTGCATCTTCGAGATCGTCTTTTCTCCGAACCACTAGGTGCCCCCTGCTCGGTGCAATCCTGCTATGGGATATGGAAATAGTCGGCCAGTCGGGTGATGAGTGGGGTGCAGTGGAGGGTCCCCAGAGTCTGAGCACTCTTGTCCATAGTCCTCGCCACCACAGATCCCAAGTGGAGAGCATAGTTCTCAGTGCGGATCGAGTGGATGAAGTACAGGGACCGCCTAGTCAGGGTGCTGGCACTTTCTCCAGCTGGAGTGAAGGACTTCGCGAGCAAGTGGTGGAGCAGGCGATTCTCGAGCTGCAGAATGCTAGCCTTCGTCCGCCCCGCAGTGAAGGGGTTCTGAGCGGGCTGAGCTAGCCGGGTGGACTCATTAAGCTTATTTGACGAGCTGAGCTCGAGCTTTCATTTTTCATAAACGAGCCGATCTTGAGCTTGCATATTAAAGCTCGTGAGAACACGAGCCGAGCTCGAGCTTGGAAATATATAAACGAGTTGTGCCCAAACTATGAGAAAGCTCAGCTCGGCTCGGATCATTAACAACACTAGAAGTAGCGTTAGGATAGAATATATAGAATAATCATGTGGTATATTTTTTTCCCAAAATTATTCTGGAGCAATCTTAATTATGAGATTTAAAAAAAAAGAAAAAAAAATGGTGGCTACTAGAATTCTAGTTACTACCATCACACATTTCGAATTATACATATGCATACATATTTCACTTTAAAAAGTTATCATTAATTTTCTCAATGTATTTAGTATTTAATATATTTATATAATAATTTCATAAAATTATATTTTAACTAATTTTTTCATTCCAGTAATTTATTGTTGTACTGCCCTGAAATCTAAAAGCTAGATTGGCAATCAAAATAGTTTGGGGCGGAGAAAGTTAATATGCTAACTTAAAGATTCGTTAGCAGATACTAACTGATATCCAAAATACATGAATTAATATCCAAGTACTAAAGTATCTATAGAGCACATAATAGTATTCAAAGTTTACTAACTGATATCCACCATGAATCAACTATTATCCCAAATTCACAAACTAATATCTAGACAATACAGAATAGTATCCAAACACATAATTAGTGTCCAGATAACAGATTAGAGTATCCAGATAACACATAAGAGTATCCATATTGAATATTAATTGGTATCTATATAATAGTTTGTGATGTTTTGAATATTAGTTTGTGCTATCTAGATAGGTAGCAGACTTGGATATTAGTTTATACATTTTGGATATTAGTTAGCATATACTAACGAATCTTCAAGTTAGCAGAATAACTAGACTGGTTTTGGGCTCACCGAGTACTCCTGATTTTATTGCGAATAGCCTAGAACTTTCCATAGATTAGAATAATTAAGCCACAAGTTCGCAAGAATTACCAAAAATCGCATTTACTGTTCCTTACGAACAAATCGCGTGCTACTGTTCACGGGGAAGTTTTTTTATTGCATGCGGACGGTTTTAGATAAACTTGCATTCACCATATTGGGCTGTTAGAATAATTAAGCCACAAGTTCGCAAGAATTACCAAAAATCGCATTTACTGTTCCTTACGAACAAATCGCGTGCTACTGTTCACGGGGAAGTTTTTTTATTGCATGCGGACGGTTTTAGATAAACTTGCATTCACCATATTGGGCTGGACAAGCTGTAGCGATTGATTGTATTTTATTTTCGTCAAATGCATGGGCCCACGTGTAAATGACCACATCTGACCAGTACCCCTCTCTTTTCCGTACGTCTCCACTCTCCACAATCCCTTCTTCCCCATTCATTATCTTTCCCTATTCTGAACAAAAGATCTCTTTCCGGCCTTTTTTTTTCTCGTCCAATCTCAACCGGAGAACCAGAGAGTTCAAATCATTCGATCCATTTCTCTACCAATAGCAATCGTGTTTTCCTATTGTGACAAAAAAAGATCTCTTTCCTAACTAAGTCTTCCGTCCAACCTCAAATGGAGAATCTAAAGTCAAGTCGATGGAGATAGAAGAAGATCAACAAGAAGAAATTGAACGTGCGGTTGCCGGAGCTAGGGGCAGACGGAAAAGATCGTTTGAAGGCTTCCTCTTTGAACCCGAATAGTTTCCGAAAGAAGCCTACCATCGCAAAATCAAATAGAAGCCTTGGAAGGGTAGAACCTTTCTTATATGTGAAATTGAAGCCATTGGAAAATTGGACAGACTAACCGAATTGTCACAACTATAATAGTAAACCCGGCCATATGATGTTCTTTTGCCCGCTCAATCAACACATACGACAATGGCGGTGGTTGAGCAGTAGAAAGAGAGGACGAGAGATGAAGCATTGAGAATAGAATGGATGGGTTGTCAAGATGTATATGGTATTATGGTTACTCCTCTCTTATGAGTTTTTGGGAACATCAATCCTTTTATGAATGGAATTGCATGGAGTACACATGTCTCCATTTGCAATTGAAGAAGGCCACCTGTATACATGTCCACACATGTCGACTAAATTTGGGTCTTCCCCAAATATAAATTTCTTATTTAATTTTTTATTTATTGGATGAGGGGTGATATAAGGAACTTTCCTTCTTTCTTAACTTTTCAATTATCTCTAAATCACGAATTCATGGTTTGGTTTGTGGAATAATATATAGTCTATTCATGTGTTATTTTTTAGATGATAAATTAAAACACATATATACACTATAAAAATATATGTTTCTTCGGTTTGATTTTGGCAATTCATACATACACTATAAATTACAATTTTTAAGAGTGTTAACAACATTGTATGTTTGAAGAAATTGTTTACTTCATGATTATAAAATTTTGATAATAAATTTTTTCGAATTACCAGATCATGCTACAATAACCAATTTTAGATAAATTCAAAATTAACGAACCACAATCTATTTTGATGTTCTTCGTTTTGACGAAAATAAAATACTAATGGTTTCTTGCAATAAATTGGGAGCCTAAATTTTATTATTTGAGTTTTCTTTTCAACAATGCAGTATAATGATATGCTAACTTAAATTTCATCCTAATTTATGTAATTAAAAAAAATTATATATAAAAATATCGATGGCAAGTACAAGTATGTAACACTTCAGGTACACCGTACACGTATATGATACTCATAAGGAACAATTCAATTTTTACTGAAAAATATGTGTTTCAATGATTAAATGAATGATTTCTTATACAAACTCTAAATTTACATATATCAGGGTGGAGCATTTAGAACTTACAAGTACAATAAAAAAATAAAAATATTGAAACAAAACAAAGCAAACATCCACAACATGGAATACCGGGTAAATAACTGTATAGATATATAGCCACAAGTTAAAAATAATTGTTCATTACTAAAAATAGAGCATACTATTAAAAACTTCTTTTCCTGTGTACTATTCACTTATTTTGTTATCCCTTATACCCAACTTTACCATAAATCACTTTCCCTTATACAAATTGTATAATAAAATTATTTATTTCTCAACCATTACAATCAATTTCACTATAAATTATATTTCCTTAATTGTCTGTCTAGATACTTTGTTTTCTTTCCTAAGAATTCCTTTCATGTTATGAAAGACATAAATATTACAAATACATTATGTACAACTTAGAAAGGATAATAATTTTATATGAATCAAACATTACGTAAATTACAAATACATTGCGTAGGATTTATAGAGAAATATTCATTTCTTATGTATAAATTAAGCAAAATGTATCATGTTAGTTTTTGGAAATGTTCAAGACACTAATTATAGTGAGTGATAGTTATTTATTATGTATCAGTTAAACATATTACGTATTTTTTTTAGTAATGTAAGTTTGACCATTAATTTATTTATTATTAATTAAACTGTTGACGATGTCATCAACTTGCATTACAAAAAGGCTCTGTAAAATTAATTATTTTGCAGACAATAGTTTAATCAAATTTGATATATTTCATAACTTGATTTATATTATATCACGCATCACAAGAGATTTACATAACATCATTCTCTAACAATTACCTAAAAACAGTGGATTACGTAAAATTTATGAAGTGATAGTTATTCTTATGTATCATTTTTTATTGACGCAATGTAAACCTTATGGAGGTATCTTACACAATCTATTTTATGAATTGTTTGATTTTCATTAAAATTTCATTTGAGTGAATGCATTTTTAGAGAATTAATTTTCTACCGCAGCGAAGCGCGGGCCAAAAAACTAGTATATATAACAGAAAACGGGGAATACTACACCCGTTAAGCTCAAAATTAACGGCCCTCTACATTTTTCAAAGGACGGAAAATATGTGATTATGTAGTGGGATTAGGATATGCATTGCAGTCTGATCTGCTATGTTGAGTAGCTTGCATAATAGAAAAGCTTAACGAACTATAACGAGAAGGGATAGTCGCACTAATTTTCACACTAATATATGTTGGTATACTTCGATATACATGACATACTACAATGTGAGGAACAATGAGTACAATTGATAAATGCGTACCACTTAGCTTCTAAACCATGCGAAGTCCGCGGTGGAGACTGGAGACAAAAGTCACTTGGCCTTAATGTCCGAATCAACTACAAAGAAAACACTGTTACACTTCATTCCTGGAGCATCGCCTTCAAACAAAAATCTCGATCACATTATTTGGTGAATGTTAGCTTGCTTGCGGAGCCACTGCTAATCCTCATCAGAGGGCTCGTCGCCACCCACATCTACATCTTCGCTCATTCCCTGATGTTTTCATATCGAAACCACACCCCCAGAATAGGGAAACATCAGTTTTATTGTATTGTTCTCCGGCATTGCATCACCAACCTAACTTGTTCAATCATCAATTAATGAAAGTTTTGAAAGCGAAGGGGAAGAGTAATTGGAAGTCATACCTTATACTTCCTGGTCTCCATCATAAATTGACGAGCAAGATTCTGGGTTGGGGGGGTTGCCTCATATGGCTGTAAGACTCTGCTCTCGGCTAGTGGATCCCCAGGTACTATAGCCCAGTGATCAAACGCAATGAGAACAGATACTCGGCGCTTTGTAGGGACCTCTAAGAGCATCTGTAGCATGTATGACTCTGTCCCTCGTAAAAATGCCTGAAACCATATTTCACAAAGAAAGGAATGAACAAGGGGAAACCACTGTGCATATGGCCGATTAAGTGTGTACTACCAGGAGAAAAAAGAAATTGAAAGAGCTAGAAAGAAGAAGGATACATGATCTGGACAGTCAAATTTACAGTAAATCTGGAAGAAAGCCTGTAGCATCCTGGCTTCCGAGCAACCAACCAAACAGATCTTAAATTAAGGACCAACCCATGGACGAGCAGCTCAATCACAAGAACAAATAGCAATATCTGTAATTTTCAGGGGGTCCTTTGGCCCCAACCTGCAACCCACCCGGTTATGCACTCTTTCCTATTAGCCTTCTAACAGCATAATTATTACAGATTCTACTCCCCTTCTACCCTTTAAGGCACAAGCTTTACAAGCCAATTTTTATAAAAAAATGTCAAAGAAATGAACCTACCCCGTGCGGTGCAGCCCATATAACGAAGCCACAATATTACATAGTCATTTACAAGCTGTCATACTTTCACTGATGTTAATTGCACCAGGCAAAGTAAGCACATTAGTCCAGTATGCTTATATCCTAGGGATCACGCGTACCAGGCCTTAGGCAGATTGCCATTGCCATGAGAAACAGTCTAGAGAAGCTTTTTAGCTTGGAATAAAGAAAAAGGGATTGGTCTAGTGATATCGGGAATATAAGTAGGGAATAAGAATATTTTTTTTCTTACTGAAAAAACCTATCCAAGGATGGAGCTAGGTATCAGGTCTCAAATGCTGCGAGTTCAAGCAAGCAGAATGCTAGTGATTCCGAGCTTTCCAGTACTTAGTAGTGTCGCTTAACTATCGGACTTTCATCAATGTTTCATGGGTATGTTCTTCTGCCATTATATCTTCCAAAATTTCATTTCCGAAAATTTCCTATGAGCAACTGCAATTTCTCAACTCCAATAACCTAAACTTCTAAACTCATTGACCTGTTTTCACAATCAACCCTAGCCATATTACTCACATTCTGGTAATATGCCGAAGTTAAAGGCAGCCTACCACTTCTGCACGACATTTTAGCATTTGATGCCAAATCAAACTGTAATATGCTCCGTCCATTTACTTTTGACAATACACTTAGAACTATTAACTGCTTGACCAACTCCGGGACATAAAAGAAACCAGAACTCATCATTCATATAAGTTAACAGAAACCGCTCGTAAATCTAAGTCAAGGAAACAAACCTTAAGAACATAACCTCGAGGTCCAAGGAGAATAACATCTGTTATTTTATCTATATGTCGACGTGACAATACCTCACGAACTTTGGGTAGGTCGTCCACTGGTGTATGTATCTGAAAAATAAAATAACCAAAAGGTCAGTTCTAGAAGAACGTTAGCAGGGCGGTGAAACATAAGACATTCAAACAGTTTAATTAAAGTGGTGGCTATAAAATTTCGCAGCATTTTGACCCATCGCTACATCCAAAATACTATTCCTACGACAACATTGCATACTCATCTATCAATTAAGTAACAAGTTTATTGTGGCAGCGAATAGCAAGAAAGTACCTCCACGTAATACACAGGTTCCATAAGTCGAGGAGCTGCCATAAGAAATGCTGAATGTGCCACTCTCCTAGTTGTGGGAGCAATCCCCTCCGGCCACCCATGCGACAGTTCAGATGCAAATATTGCATCAACTATTTTGAATTTTACATTCCTCATTGGCTCATCACAGAGTGGTCCTTGTCGTGCAGCCCATTGAAAACTGTCAAAAACATGAAACTCTTTACTCTGAACAGCTATAAAGCTCAAACAAATGCCAAAAGAAATAAAAGAGAAATAAACAATTTTAGTTTACCCGTGGACAATATAATCCCTAACAGCACGAAGCAATCCCTTGTCAACTTCAGTAGAAAGAGTGCCATCCAGCAAAACATTAGGTCCCTGAGGAATTTAAGCTCACAATGAGACAAGAATTCAACTAGGGTATTCAATAAACATGACAACCGAGTCATGATGCAGAATACAATGTGGAGGAAAGGAAATGAATGTATAGAAGAGCATCAGGCATTTCATTTACATGCTCATCAGGACCAAATGCCCATACAGATTGACCATCAAGCAAATCCCATTTATGCATTCTTTTGAAAAATTCATCAACAGCTTTGCTCGTCCAGTCAGTGCTCACAGCAACATTCTCAATGTCTTCTGCAAGACCTTTCTCCAAAGGCTCAGCAATCTGGTGAGAAAAGTTTAAAAAATTATCTACAGTGGTGTCACCTAAATCAATAAAGCATCAGTAGGAATGATCAGTGAATATTAGAGAGTAGAAAGAAAGACTAAGGAAGGGCAGTGTTATCAACCGTAGTATCATATGATTCAAAATATGAGGTTAACCACACCAAAAATAACGGGGTTAAGCAATTTACCATTGTTATTTTGTTTCTCTTGGGTGTTTTAGCAGAACACTTCATTGAAGAAGATTCCACCACAGTTTCACGGAATAAGACCGCTGGAACTGAATCCTGCACATGAAATTTAGAAGCAAAAGCAACAAAGGAGTCAGAAATGCTAGCATGCAAGGAGAAACAGAAAGCACATATGAGAAACAGTAACAAGAAGAGTACTAACACACCTTGATTTCTACTCCAGAATCAGAACAGAACTCGGAAAGGTCTTTGATAATTCTATTCATCTGAAATTCTCCAGTACCAAGAATCATATGAAGTGCAGACTCCTCCACTTTAATATTGGCATGAGGATAGGTTCTGCTGATATAACGAAGACCCTCCAACACTATTGGCAACCCAGTTGGATGTGAAGGCTCGGCAGAAACTCTCATCAATGGAAGGGTATTGAACTGTAGCGGCTGGAACAGATATGCATCTTCAACATTATATTTACTACCATGGTATACATCATATTTACTGTTGCATAATGTAGCAGTTTTTGTAATTCCTGCATCTATACCTTCGATAAGAACCCAAGAGCCAGGTCCTGCAGTGCTTATGGCCAATCTATATCGACCCTGATACACCCACAGGTTTGTAACTTCTTTCACTGGAGTGTCGTCATATTCCTCCACCGTATAAGCTTCCTGCAATATTTTCACGGACTGCCCAGTCTTAAGTGTACCGCTATAGACTCTACCAAAAGCATCCAAGGCGCTCCAATCAGACTTGGGATAGAATTTGACGACATCGATCATGAGCGGCCCAGAGGAGGTACATTGTTTCATTGCTTCATAAAGCTTAGAGTCTTTAGGCCCTGTGTATATGTGTTCGACCTTCCAACCAGCTGCATCCTTAGCAGAAGGTATATGTTGAACCAACATATCAGTGAACCCAGAAGCAGTACCAAAAACGTTGCTACAGGCCAACCTCAGCAAAGGCCAAGCCTTCATTGTATAAGCAGCATTGTGAAGTCTCACACCAAACCCTGCCAGAATAGCTTCCATGCTCTTCTTAGGCTCTCCGATCATTGGGCAATAAACAGCATTAGAAAGATTCACAGCATCGTCATCCAAGATAGTTTTCAAGATCTTTGTCTGTTCTCCAATCACTAGACTGTATATTCTATAGAGAGGTTCGAGAACAAATTCAACAAAAGATCTTTCACCCCCAGTAGCAGGGCGGTCCTGCTGGAAAGTCCTTGACTATGGGTGATAATAGTTATCCCCCCACAAGCTAGATGCAAACTCATTCAGTCCGAATGGGATATCGTGATGTTTGAGATACAGCCTAGCAAATGATTGCAACGTGAATGACCATCTAGTAACTGAACTTGCAAAGCAAACATTCCCAACAGTAGGATCTATAGTAGTGACATTCTGTGCAGCTGATGAGACAGCAGAGATATGGTCGTTGATGATCTTAATAGTATCTCTCAACTTGTTGTAAGCAACCTCAGGGCGCAAATTAAGTTCTGTTATCAGCTTGTCCACCTTCCCAAAAAAAAAATATTATAACTAACACCTTGAAACACACAAAAAAATCGAGAAAGCACAAGAAGACATTCAGCTCAAGAAAGCACCTTGGTTATGACGACTACAATAGGCAGGTTTTCCTGGATTGCATGCTGAATCGCTCTCTCTGTATTTAGCTGTACATCACATAAGTTCATAGCAAGAATATTTCAGCTCATAAACACTGCAAATGTACATCACATAAGTTCATACTCCATCACATACACTTGCTTCAATCAATCAAATATGCACAAGCCTAACAAACTACCTTTCAATCAGTTATTCATACAGCTTAGAAATATATACAGAAAAATGACGATATCTCTACTAAACTAGAATTTCGAAGACTCACCATCACTCCTTCGGAAGGATCCACCACCAAGACTGCACCGTCAGAAAGCCGCAGAGCAGCCGTCATTTCATCGGACAAGTCAAGATGGCCAGGAGCGTCCATAATGTTGCAGAGGATATGATTCGAACTGCTATCCTCAAGCGCTAGAGACATTGGTACTGCTTTGATGGATCGACGAAGAGTTTGCTCATCTGACCTAGTATCCGTATACCTCATATACTCTGAACTCTCCAGAGGAGATATCTGATGTGTTTGCTCAACAAGCAAGTCCATGAAACTCGTCTTTCCGTGATGGATGTGGCCAACAAGAGCAACATTACGGACACGGGCTGGATTGGACATCAGATCGACAAGATCTCGACGGGAAGCGTAAGAGTGAATTTCTTCCTCATCGGGCTCAATTTCTGGACCAACGTAATTCCCGAACTCATCATATTCATCGTCGCTCATCTTTCAAGGTTGCTGCTCGACGACGACTCGGGCGACGGGAGATGGCGGGAGGCCGGCGGTTGGAGTCGGAACTGGAAAGTAGGGTTTCAGTTGTGTCTCGCACGGAAGAGAATTGAGAGACGGAAGAAGAAGGAGATGGAGAACATAGGGAAGCGAATTGAGAGACGGAAGTAGAAGCAGGAGAATAGAGGGAAGAGAATTGAGAGACGGAATTAAGATGGAAAAAGTGAGGTAAGAGAAATGGGCGGGAAAAGAGTCTGTTGTTCTATTCATAATCCCGTTTCTGGCTTCAAGGCAGAGCTGCCGCACTGAGGGTCAATGAAGCTCGGAATCGTGGATTGAGAGCCTGACCGTGGAAATTGACTGTGAATCCCTGGTTTCCAAACTGAGAAAGGAAAGAATGATCGAACAAAAGTTGCAGTCCTCTCACTGAGATGACTCTTTGGAGGAGATGGCAAATGCCCGAGAAACGGGTTGCAAAGTGGGCTTTTTCACCGAGGCCTTTCAACTCAGTGGCCCATGTTTTTGCTGATATTCGTATACCATGGAACAAACTGTCTGTTGGGCTGAAATGCCTACCATTTCTTTTAATTTTTGCTTCGAGTAATATGCGGTATAGACTTTATTTGAGTTTAAACCTGTTACACGTATACGAGTGTCATGGATACCTGCTCTGTATTTTAATAATTTTTGTGAATTATGCTACTGATGACTACCATTATTTGCTCATTTCACTTGCTATTCTATTTGCATATGGCTTGAAAACATTTAATAGACTCATGACTTATGTCTGCGTTATCGATATATTTAATATTCTAAACAATATCTCTTCCTTAATAAACTAATCTTTCTTATGTTTGTGGAGACTTGTCTAATTTGTTCTTCCTAATTGTGTAGAATGAAGTTGATATTATGAAGTGTAGAATGAAGAAGGTTATGCCTTGTTTGATAACTCTGATTCTAAACATTATATTCTGAGTATACATGTTTTCTACATAATACAATACTTTTTGACTTGTTTAAATCACACAATGCATGTAAAGAGAATACATTGTCTTCCTAATACATAAAAAAATGATGTATACTAAATTCCACCTTTTTAATGAGATTGAGTATCCATAATTCATTTCATGTATAAACCATGCATTCTTTTACATTTTTCAAAGAATGAATATTTTGGAATGTTGACCTTCATGTGTCTCTCCCAAGTCAGTATTATGTTGCCAAATCAATATTGCTAACTAGAAGTTAACATTTGGCTAATTCTCAGTATTTTAATAGGTTTGGATAATATAAAAGAATCTGAATAAGGTTTTGATAAAAAAAATAGACATTATCCTTTAAGTAATCATGTTGTTTATGAATCTATACATCTACACAATATATAATAGCATCAAGGGGAAAACTATTGCTCCATTTCAAATTTCCTGCAATGAGAGTGAAAATAGGAAGGACATTTTGGTTAGGTAGAGAGACAAACTGATCGGAATAACCTCATCGTCGGTAGAGCCGCTCGATTTGCGACCGACAGTCTCCTCTTCCTTCGCAATGACGTATAAAACCTAATAGTTGAATCTTACTACTCTGATACCATGTAAAATAATCTAAACGCGAAAAATAGATGACACTCGATTTACGTAGTATCCCCGGGAAACCGAGACTAATCCATTGAGAGCAGAGCTCTCATGCTGAAGTTTCACTATGTGATGGAGAGTAAAATTGCAATCCTTGCGTTAGGCTTGCCGAGATCGGCCACAAACCCTTTTATACTCCACAACATGTAACATGGGTAGTAAAGAGAAGTACAAAGGAGCCCAAAACAATACAAAACGGACAGCAAGGTCCAATAAAAATAAGCTATCAGAGCAATCGCAGATGGGAATTGATAGCACCATAGAGCAAGTCCTTTATTTATCCTATTTCCATTTGTTCTTGTATGTCTCTGTTTGTGTGTGTTCTTTTTTTTTTTTTTTTTTTTGGATCATGTAGTAGAGCAACAACATGTGATCACATGACCTTATTATTATGAAACCTTCTTGAGAATCGACTGAAGGCAAGAAGTTAGGGATTCGAACAGTGATGGAAACTGAGAAGAAGAGGTAGGATAAGATGAAGATAAAAAAATTGGATGGCTAAACATCGCCCTAGTTTTATTATTATCGTCCTAACTTAAATGATGATTTTACTAAATTATCCTTGATAATAAACTCAAATTAAACAAAACACACCGCCTTAGATTTCTAATTAATCCTACTTCAAACCTCCTCCTCTCCAAACACATTTCACTGAAGGCCTTCTCCCTTCCACTCCGCGGCCGCGATTCCCCAAAATTCCCGGCAAATAAGTCGACACAGTGTTTACACCTAAAATATTTTTGGCTCAAATATTAAATTAATGTGGCATCGCGAGATTAACGATGTCGCGAGCATAGCGGCGTCGCAATTCCAATAGCCTTGAAGATTCAACAACGCCACTGAATGTTGAAATCAAGACGACCGGTGGATATTTGGCGTTTGTTTTTATTTCAGTAATCAGTGGTGCATCCGGTCAAATGGCACCGACCCCACCTGCCGCCCCTTCTGTTTTCTATGCAGCGGGGAAAACAACTACCCTCCAGATCCCTAATTCCCTTCGCTTCACAATGGCGAGAAGCCAAACACCATGACCCGCAGCTTTGCAAATCCGGTGTCTGCTTCGCGCCTTCGCAATTCTGACCTCCGCTCCATGCCTCTGCACCAGCGACCGGCGACCAACGAACCAGCGAGCCCTCATTTCACTTCTCAGGCGGCGATTGTTTTTCCATCCCCACGCCTAGCATCTTGCCGGTTATCAGCGCCGAGTTCGGGACGGTGAGGTCTCCGATCTCGGTTAATGCCATTTCGGCTCACCACTCCTATCCTCTCTGTGAGTCCGCCCCAATCGTCCTCCTCTCCGCGAGACCGTGACACCGACTCCGCCCCAACAAGTGCGACCACCGACCAGTGTGGGAAACACTTCCTCTTCTTTCTCTGCCGCTTCCCTCTTATCTCTTTTGGCTCGACGATGAGGATTCTGGTGGCGGCGGCGAGGGTTTGATTGATTGGGGGAGGGAATTATGTCTCCTCCTGCGAAAGTGAAGTGAGGGAGGGGAGCTGAACAACAGCTAGGGGTGGGCAACGGGTAGCGGGTATTTGGGTATACCCGTACCTGCCCTGTTTTTTGCGGGTTACGGGCACAGATATTACCCGTAATATTATTAACGGATGAGACTTGGGATTGTACACTCTTACAATGGGTACCCGCGGGTTACCCGCAAATACCCGTTTGGGTAATATGGGTACCCGTTTTACCCATTCAAAACACAAAAGAAGAAACTAAAAAGCAGAAAGTCGAGCTTCAATTGTCTTCAATTCAGGACCAACAAGGCCAGTTTCCTTTGGCCTTGACGAGTCAGTCACAACATGAGTGACCCAACTCTCCCTCTCCTCGCGACAGGCAGGCGCGGTCACCGCAGCCAACAACAACTCTCCAATTCCAATCGCTCATCCCCCCGCAGCTCTACTCAACTCCGAGTATTTGTGGTTTCAATGCATCTTTGCAAGCCAATACCCACTTGTTGGGATTCAATTCATAGTGTCGATCTCCATTATATTATTAATGCAAATTTTCTTCATCAATTGGGATTCAATGCAGATTCTGACAGTGAAGCTAGTGTCTGTAACAAGCTTTGGACGGTTCATTGCCATACTTGTTCTGGCGCGATTCTTTGCGAAAGGGGAGGTTCGGCTTCAGGTTGTGGGATAGCTCGATGCATCTTTGCAGCATCTCTCCAATGCAAATCGAATATTTGTGATTGAGATGGATTTTGTAATTCGTATGGATTTTGTGATTGTTAAGTATGTACAACAGTACAAGTTAAATTTAAACTTTTGTTAAAATTTTAGTGATTCAAACTTTGAGTATTTATAGGTAATATGGGTACCCGTTATCCGTCCCGTACGGGTAATGGGTACCCGTTTACCCATACGGGTTTGGGACATGGGATGGACTTTGGCCTCCAAACAGGAATGGGTACCCGTTTCAAACGGGACGGGTATCCTGTCCCGTCCCGTTGCCCACCCCTAACAACAGCGTTTTAGAGTAGGGAGGTAGAAGTCCAGTTTTGGGTTAAAACTGGAGTGGGACCGGGACCGTATAGAAACCAGACCGAGTCAAAATCGGATTGCATCCAATCTCCAATCAATCCGGGCTAGTTTAACCAGACTGGACTGTATAGCCACCCTAATGGCAGGCAGAGATAAAGAACAGGGTTGGGAAGCTTCTTTTGTTTATTGATTTGGTGTTTCTTTGCTCACACACGTTACAAATTCATGGCTTTATATAAGCCTTTTACATACAAAGATCTTAGACATAGTAGCTAGAACCGCCAATATTTTGTGGCCTCTATTTGTTTCTAATTAAACACCAACTAACACATTAATTTGGCCAACTCGTAATTGATATGGGTTGTCGGATATGCTTACTGATTACTTCTCCATCACTTGTTTTTTTTTTTTATAGTTTTAAGTTTAGATTATTTGAGAAGCGTGTAGAATTAACCTTCACACTTATAACAGAAATCTCACATATTCCCAGAGAGGTGCAGATTCAGGATTTTTGCGTATTCTTTGGGGTTCGCTAGACTGCTCGAAGCCGAGAAAGAAAGGGGTGAACGACGGATCTCGAGGTTTTGATTGCCGCCGGCTTGGCTACTAGGGATGGCAATCAAACCCATGGCCGCGGGTATCCGACCGCCCCATACCCAGTCAACGCGGGGAATCCCCGCTTTGACCGGGTATGGGGCGGGTATGGGTAAAACCCGCAAAAGGTTTGATGGGTATGGGGCGGGTATGGTTTTAGCCTCTCCCGCCCCATACCCATACCCATACCCGCCCCACCAAGAGAATTTCTTCACATATCAAAAAATACGTGGATTAAATTGTAATCTATCAATGATGATGATGATAACTCGAGAAAATAAATAGTAGAAATGCAATTGAGTAACCACCTTAATCAAAACCTAATTCATTTCCCTCAATTCTTCTTCCACTCTTTCACTTTCCCCCTTGTCAACAAAATTATGTTAGTTAATTATTACTTAGTAAATGTATTAAGAGTTAGAGCATAATAATTTAAAAAATATTATAGTCTATATTATGTATTAATGGATGTTTTAGGATCATATTCTTTGAATCGTATTTAGAAAATGACCGTGTTTTGTTGACTTCGTGATATAATAGGTTTGTTTATGGTTATAATTAAAACTTTTCTGGTAAGTTTTAGGTATAATAATGTTGGATATACGGGGATGGGTATTACCCATGGGTACCCGAAACCCACGGGTATGGGGATGGGTTTGCAAAACATTCCCCCGCATGGGTATGGGGCGGGTATGGATTTGGGTATTTGAAGATGGGGATGGGGATGGTTTAGGCAAACCCGCCCCAAACCCGCCCCATTGCCATCCCTATTGGCTACTGGATTGTAATTGGAGGATGGAGACGAGGAGGGTGGCGTGGAGGCAGCAGCTGAGGATGAGGAGACGTTGAGGGTGGAGGGGAGATGGACTTAGGGAGTAGTGATGGCAAATTGGGAATGGGATGGGGTGGGGTGGGGCGCCGCGGTACCTTAATTCTCATGCGTCGTCCCACGTTATTATGGGTCGGGGTGGGTAAAATCCGTGCGGGTAAGGGGCGGGGTGGGTCAATAATAGAATAGGCAATTGAGTCTAACAAGTTGAAATATTGACTCTAACTAGTTGAATAAAAATCAAAATAGGAGAAATATGTATAGATATCGTAAGAAATTGAGACAAAATGTATCTAGAACGGGGCGGGGGCGGGACAAGGCGGGTCGGAAGTAGATACTCATGTCCCGCCCTACGCTGCTACGGGTCGGGTAGTACCCGCCCCATCGCGGGTCAGGTCAGGTAATACCCACGGGGCGGGTGCAAATTGCCATCACTATTAGGGAGTTGATTCCCCGTAAACCAGAGAGAAGGGAGGAAAGAGATATTGGGTCTGGTTAGAGCTGATAATTTTCGATCCAATCCATCTAGCAAATTATCCACCTAATCCAATCCATTTGATCCAAATCCAAGTGGATTGGTGGATTCATGGATTGATCCATGAATCTAAATTACAAATTACGGTTTAGTACCTATACTTTTTATATTTTACATTTTGGTATCCAAAATTTAATTTTTTATACAAAAATATTATCGGAAAATTATGTTTGGTACCTAAATTTTTTATCATGACATTTTAGTATCCAAACTTTTCAAAATTTACATATTGATCCAAGACTTGGATGTCATTTGGATTCATGAATCAATCCACTAATCCACTTGATCCTATCCATGAATCCACCAGTCCACATGATTCATGGATACACCAATCCATGGATCCAATCCTATTGCCACCTCTAGGTTTGGTGGTTTCTTTAGGTTAGCGAGATAAGGGTTATCGAAAATTTGAAATTAGAGGAATGGGTCTGGGAAGAGCATAGTTTTGTGGGCTCAAAACTGGGCTGAGGTTAGCAAATCGAAATTTAAAATCGAAATCCTGAATTTTGGTTCGGTTTTATTTTGAACCGAGTTGTGATAATAACTAATTGGGATTTCTTACGGTAACTTGAATTTTTTTACCTGCTATAGCAGGTTTCATAGGTCGTATTACGTAAAATACAGTAGGCATTACGTAATGGTTACGTAACATATGATAATCTTACGTAACAGTTGTAAAAGATCATTACGAAGCCTTACGTAATAGAATGTGTCTTTACGTAATGAGTATTAACCTCGCGTTACGTAAAATGCTCAGTCATTACGTAAGAAATAACTGTCGTTCCGTAACCTTTACGAAATGGAAGGTCTTTTTACGTAATGAGTAGTAACCTTGCATTACGTAAAGTGCTAAGTCATTACGGAAGCCTTACGTAACTCTTCAGATTTAACTTTTACGTAAAAAATAACTATCATTCCATAACCTTTATGTAATGAATGTGTATTTTACGTAACAGTTGTAAAATATCATTACGGAAGCCTTACGTAATAAAAGGTCTCTTTACGTAATGAGTATTAACATCGTGTTACGTAAAGAGATAAGTTATTACGGAAGCCTTACGTAACGCTTCTAATTCAATAAGAATTAAACAGGAAAGGTCAAAATATGGAAAGACAACTAAATGTGAAAAAGAAAAGAAAAAAATAAAAAACGTAACTTGGGAATGTGGTGACCGGCAATCCATGTTGCCATTTATTTTTTTACCTATTTTTTATTTTTACTTCTTTAATTAATGGTGTTGGGGGTGTTACTAAATACTCCACGCGCTGACTAAATAAGGGCTCGCTCAATCGGCAACGTGCTCCGCCCGAACGCCACTACGAAGTATTTAAAGGCATGAAACTCTCCATTGAGAGGGACTTCGGCTCCCTCCTCACTTTCCACTTTCCATGATCTATCTACACTTTATCTCTCTACCTTGTTCTCTCAACTTTGACCTTAAACATAAACTGACTTGATTATTGGAGCTTAATCCGGGGGCAACCCTGGCTCTTTCACAGGTTCTCTCCCTCCCGACGAGATCGGACGAACGGATGACGAGTCAACCCACACCAACAAATATCATTGTTCATACCTCGAACTAGATGGTACAAACAAATGGTTTAAAATAAGTTTCGTCAATTTTAACGATTTAGATCTATGCAAGTTACCTAATTTGAAATCATACCCAAATTATTGTAGGAGATCCCCTAACTAATAAGCAACAATAAAGCCGAATTCCGACCCGTAAAGCGCCTATTTCCGTTCCAATTTGGTTTGTGTGCAGTTCGATTAGGTAAAACCGAACCTAATGCTAACCCCTAGCTCGAAGGTTGGTGTCATACGGTTTGGACGAAAACCCTGGTGCCTTCGCTGAGAAACTCTCGCTTGCTAATGGATCTTCCATGAGACATGCGAGTTGCGAATTGCGATGTAGAAATGACACTGCCAGCGTTATTTAGTTTGCAGTCATAACCTAGCTGCTTCTTGCTGGAGCGCTGAGGCTAGGAGTGGTCGTATTGTTTGCTTAACGCTTTAAGTTGATACCTACTATTAACCCGTCGATGGCTCATTGGATTGCTTAACGCTTTAAGTTGATATCTACTATTAACCCGTCGATGGCTCATTGGATTAAAAACGACGTGGACAAGTAACTGTAAACCCAAGACTTGAGTTTTCTATTAATCAATGAACATATTTATAATACAAGACAGTAGAGTGCTGCGGTATAGCAGGAGTAAACTAAGGAACTGCCCATAGTGGGCAACGTTCCATTAACAACAACTAACAGCACTAACAGCACTAACAGCAGCAGAGTAACTTCAGGAGCAAGTAGTTCCTCTTCACGCCCCCGCAAGTGAAGGCTCGGAGAGCCGGAACTTGGAACAGAATTTGGTGAAGGACTGACGTGGCAACGGCTTGGTGAGCACATCCGCTAGTTGATCAGGAGCCGGTAAATAGTCGCACCAAGGTTGTCGCACCACAAAGTAGGGGCAGTGGGAATAGATTGACCAAGCTCCTGGAGCAATGTACGCAACCAAAGTACCTCAGAGGCAAGGGTGGCAAGGGCTCGATATTCACATTCTGTGGATGATCTAGCGACGGACTTCTGTTTGCGAGTTGACCAGGACACAAGGTTGGTTCCACAAAAGACTGCGAAACCGGTGATGGATTTGCGATCTTTAGGGCAGGAAGCCCAAGATGCATCGGAATAACCATGAACATGAAGAGAGGCTGATTTGGAGATGACAAGGCCACGGTCCAGAGTGCCCCGAAGGTAACGGAGAACTCGCTTTACAGCAGCCCAATGATTATCCGTTGGTGAGTGTTGGAATTGAGATATATGGTTGACGGCAAAGGAGATGTCTGGGCGAGTGAAGCTGAGATATTGCAGACCCCCGACAATGCTGCGGTAGAGAGCAGGATCAGCAAACAGCGGAGCCGAATCCATGGCAGAATGCTGAATGATGTCAACAGTACAAGGAGTGGATATGACATTGGCATTTGACATCTGAGCACGATCAAGTAGATCCTGAATAAATTTTCGCTGGCGAAGAACAAGACCTGTGGAGGATCGATCAACTTCAATACCGAGGAAGTATGAGAGAGGCCCCATCTCCCGAAGTGCAAAATTATCACGAAGAAAAGCAAACAGCTGCTCAATGATAGAGGCATCATTGCCTGTGATGACAATATCATCAACGTAGACAAGCATATATAATCGAATAGTGCCGGACTTGTAGATGAATAGGGATGGATCGGTTTGTGAGACGGAGAAGCCGAACCGAGAGAGAGCTGCAGCAAGACATTGGAACCACGTTCGTGGAGCTTGGCGGAGTCCGTAGATGGACTTACGAAGGCGACAAACATGGTCTGGCTTATCCGGATCAACAAAACCAGGAGGCTGCTGCATATACACTGTTTCCTGCAACTCACCATGTAAAAATGCGTTAGCAATATCAATCTGGTGGAGCGGCCAACTCTGAGTAACTGCGAGACCAAGAATAAGCCGGAGAGTCGCCGGCTTCAGAACCGGGCTATATGTCTGATGGAAATCCAAACCCGGGATTTGTTCGAACCCTCGAGCGACAAGACGAGCACGACGTCTATCCAGCTGACCAGTGGGATGTAGCTTAGTGCGATAAACCCATTTGTTTGATAGAAGATTGCAATTCGGTGGCCGGGGAACCAAGTCCCAAGTATGATTGCGGAGCTGAGCAGTAACTTCATCAGCCATGGCCGCGCGCCATTGGGGGTGCTTGAGAGCCTGAGTCACAGTTGTGGGGGTATCATCAATATGCAAGTGGGAGAGAAGAGTGCGAGGTTTGAGATGGCCAGTCTTGATTCTGGTGACCATGGGATGATTGGAATTGGTTGGATTAACTACAGGAATAGGGCGAGGGGATGTAGTGAAAGGAGGACGTTTTTGGGGGGGACGACGAGGGGGAAGAGGGGTATGATGAGGTTCGGAAACAGAAGCAGTGGTGGGTTGCGGCGGGACAGTGGATGGTGGAGCAATGGGGTGTGCGGTGGAACGGCGGCGCTGATACTGGAGAAGCGGCCGAGGGGGAACAGGGGTGGGAATGGCATCGAGAGATGATTGCGACGGGCCGGGTGGGTTTAGAGTAGTGGGTGGATCGGGATTATTGGTAGTCTCAGTAGATAATGGGCTAGGGGAATTTGGAACAGGGGGTTGGGGATTTACGGGGCCGGGGAGATTAAATGGTGATGATGTATTGGGACTAGAGGGAATGGGGGAGAAGGGCCGAGGGTGTATATTGTGGGCTTGGGAAAGGGGTTGGGCCGGGAAGGAGTCGGGAGGCAGGGGAGGCAAAGGAAGAAAAGTGGACAAGGGAGAAGAAGAAGGTAACGTGGGGGCAGTGTGGGCAGAGGCAAATGGGAAGGTATTCTCATCGAACAGGACATGACGACTGATATAGATTCTTCCTGTGGGAATGTGGAGGCAACGGTAACCCTTGTGAAGTTTGCTGTACCCTAGGAAAACGCAGGGAACAGAACGGGGGGATAGTTTGTTTGCAGCGAGTGGGCGAAGCCAAGGATAGCAGAGACACCCAAAAACACGGAGATTAGCTATATCGGGGGATCGATGAAAGAGAAATTGGAAGGGTGAGTCATGATTTAGGAGAGGTTTAGGAGTGCGGTTGATGAGATAACACGCAGTGTCGAAGGCGAGGGGCCAGTATTTTAGAGGAACACTGGCATGATGAAGAAGTGCAAGACCATTATTGACAATATGTCGATGTTTGCGTTCCGCACAACCGTTTTGCTCAGGAGTCTAAGGACAAGAGGATCGATGAGCAATGCCATTTTGAGAGAGATAAGCAGACAAAGCTTGATATTCACCACCCCAATCAGATTGAAATGATTTTATGGGAAGGCCAAAATATTTTTCGACCAGTTGCCGAAATTGAATGAAAACATCAAGCAATTGAGACTTATAACGAACAAAATAGATCCACGAGAATTTGCTGTAATGGTCATAGAATAGGATGTAATAAGATTGCTCATCATAAGACAAAATAGGCGCAGGACCCCATACATCACTACAAACTAACTCAAGAGGCGCAGTGGCATGATAAGTGGACGAAGAAAATGGAATTTTGTGAATTTTGTTAACAGCACAACCGTGACACAAGGAAGAAGGAGAAGGCATAAATTTTATTTGATGTTGACATAGAAGATGTTTAACTGCTCGTTCATGAGCGTGACCAAGACGACGATGCCAAATGTCGAAGGAGGCGGCACAAGCAACAGGAGAGAGACTGCGGGAAATATTAAGAGGAAGAGAATAGAGACCATCCACCGCAAAGCCTCGATGAAGTTCACGCCCCGTGCGTCGATCCTTGATGAGAAATAGAGAATCAAAAAATTCAATGGAAATGGGATTAGAACGAGTAAGAGAGCTGATCGAGAGAAGATTATATGGGGCATTACGCACATGAAGAATATTATCCAACGAAATGGAAGTATTGGATAAAGAAGTAATGGAAGAACCAAGACGAGAGATGGGAAGAGAGTTACCATTGCCAAAAACAACCTGATCGGTCCCATTGTATTCCGAATGATGGGCAAGATTGTCTAAGTCGGATGTGAGATGATGATTGGTGCCCGAATCAAGCAACCATTGTGACGGGTTGAAGGGTTGGGCTGGGGAAGATGAAAACATGGTGTGTGGGCCTGCAGGAGGATGGGCCGAAGTGTGAACAGGCGCAGAAGTAGTGTAGGTAGCATTATGGGCCGAAGTAGGAGCTTGGACTGGGCTTGGACAATAGGGTTTGACGTGGCCACGACCCCCACAATTGTGGCAGATGACACCATTGGGCCTAGGCCCAAGCAACCCACCAGGTGAAGGCGGCCTGTAAACAGTAGACACAGCAGGGGAATTATTGTAAAAACGACCGCGTGATGCTCCACGGCCTCTTCCACGGCCGCCGCGACCGCGATAGCCACCAGCGTGAGAGTAGAAGGCAGTCGGCGCCGGAGATTCGGATCGAGCGGCATAGCGTTGGAGCTGAAGCTCCTCGCTCAGGAGAAGCGAGTGCAGATTCTCAAAGCTAATGGGCTCCATACGAGCCTCGATGTGCCGCACAAAGGGCCGATACTCCTCGCCCAAGCCGTCAAGAATCCAGCCAGTAAGATCGGCAGCGGGAACAGGAGAGCCGAGAGCAGCCAATTGATCAGCTTTAGCCTTCGCATCCTGAAGATAGTCATGAATGGAGGCAGTACCGCGACGAATATGCTGGAGCTCTTTGCTGAGGTGCCGAATTTGTATATGAGATCCAGACGCGTAGATGGTGGCCAGTGCAGTCCAAGCGTCGAAAGCGGTAGCTTTGTTGATGACGTTGGGTAAGACTGCCTCAGAGAGAGAGAAGTTGATCCACGTGAGTACGTATTGATCACGCACATACCACGCCCAATACGCCGGATTGGATTGACCGTCGATGAGTTGCGGCGGAGCAGCAAGAGTACCGTCGACATGCCCCATCAATTGATGACAACGGAGAAGAGGAGTGATCTGAGCATGCCTTAATAAGTAGTTCGTTGGGGTGAGTTTAATAGAGAGCTGGGGATTAGCTGGCAGAGAAATGGAAAGGGTCGGCATAGAAGGGGGGGAGGCTCCGGAGGCAGAGGAAGAAGAAACAGAGGATGAAGAAGATGATTCAGTAGCCATTCTTGGCGTGAATAGAAAGGAAAAAAAAAACTGGGCGAAAGAAAGAAGAGAGGATTGACTCGTTAGAGTACTATAGGCTCTGATACCATGTAAACCCAAGACTTGAGTTTTCTATTAATCAATGAACATATTTATAATACAAGACAGTAGAGTGCTGCGGTATAGCAGGAGTAAACTAAGGAACTGCCCATAGTGGGCAACGTTCCATTAACAACAACTAACAGCACTAACAGCACTAACAGCAGCAGAGTAACTTCAGGAGCAAGTAGTTCCTCTTCAGTAACTATTGAACTTCAAAATCTTGAAGATGGAAACTACAGCCAATTTTGTACATGCACGTATCTTCGGCCTCGTTCCCAAGATGAAAGTCGTTTTGTGAAGATTCTGAAAACTATGGAGCTAACGTGGTACGAGATTTAAGTTTCGCCCTAACCGTATCCAGACAAGCTTGAAGATCCTGAAATTCTTGTGTGTCCGAGAAGCTCTCTGACTGGCAAGTTGGAAACACATATATGTTAGTCATTTCTATTCCCCCTGGGAACCAAGAACAGGCACCAGATGACATGAACTTGCCTGTCTAATAGTGTTACTCAAGTGCATCTCAGCTGATGAGAGTTTCGTACAGCTACTTGTTGATGCAGACATGTCCATGTACACTTCGCATAGTTCCACCGAAGCATGGGCAAACTTCTTGAATCGATCGCTATCTTTCCATAGATCAGAGCCCTGGGAAAGAGCATCCAAACTATTATCAGACACCAGAGAAAAGTCCTCCAACCAAGCAATGTACTTTGAAGCCATACAAGGTCATTTCTAGCACCTGTTCCGTCCTAACTCCTAATGAGCGGATTACAAAAAAAAAATACAAAAAAAAAAGAAGAAGAAGAAGAAGAAAGGATTGAGATACCTGATACCCTCTGATTTGCTTCAATAGGGCTTCAGAGCACATAATGGGATCTCCTTTGATTTTATGCCACCTGGCATACAATCCCCAAATCTCCGGTCTGCTCACATTTTTCACCATCTGAATCACAAAGCGAAATGCTTTATTTAATGTCTACAATAGGAGGATGCACAATATGCATCAACTGCAACGAATTAGGTTCTCGAGATGATACCTTCTGTAGAATTTTCCCCAGCAGTTCCAGCAACAGCAAAGTTTCGCTCACATTTCCTTCTGCTTCTGTGCTACAAACAGGGTTGCCACTTTGACTAGTGGGCTCATTCTCATAGCTAGATAAGGGTATCCTTGAACCGATACTTGAATTTCTTCTTTCCATTTCTTCCATGATCCGCACCACTAACTTTACATCGATTCTTTTACCAGTGATATCTGCAACTCTCTGTAGAGCTTCCACGGCCTGCCAAGTAACAATTATTTTCTGCTAGAACAGGCTAATGAAAATGGAATAAGACCCCAGGTCATACGCAAGCAGTCGTTCACAAAAGAGAGAGAGTCGCAATCTTTAACGAGCAATAAGAATCCTATTGAGCCACCCATGTCAACACTGATAGAATGCAGAATGCAGATGAAAGTTAATTCCAAATCCAAACAGGATAGACATAAATTGCAGTAGAGCAGCTTAACAGATGATGATTGAATAACCATAGAGCAAAAGCTACCTTCAATGCAGCGGCACCGAGAGCAAACCAACCATCTGGATTTAAGGAATTCAAGGCCATCGCAGATTCCCTGCGATGTGACCAAACAAATTAGTTAAGAGCTAGGAAGAATCATATAATGGTAGTATAAAAATCAATATAGTCAGCAGACCAAAGCGTTTTAGATTGCTCATACACCCCTCTGTTGTAAGCGCTTCGGGCCAGAGCACGCTGCCGACAGGAAAAGAACAAATAGGCCAGTGGATATTACCAACTTGTTTATATACATGAGATAACTCATTCTGAACAATGAGACTAACCATGGCTCTAGCTGAGTTATAGTTGGAAACCTTAAGAGCCTTTTCATAGCAGCTATCATCATTTGTTACATCACCCAAGGAACACCTGCAAAAGGAATTATACTTCGTGTGAAAGGAACAGCTTTCACATGGTTTTCATACAAAATGGATGTATTGACAAATTACTATGTAGTACCTACGGCCGAAGTTTCTCTTTCTCGCACTTAGCTCATGACATTATGAAAAGAAACAAATGGAGTACAAGTGTTCAACAGTCTTTTTATCAGCCAATAGTTATATGCTATGCAGCAATTGACGCTCATAAAAATAAATTATGATGGAACCAAATTATTATGTCTTGGTAGTTCTAATTAATATTGGTAATTTTGTTATACTAAAGCGTGCTACTTACTTAAAAGTATTGACCGATTATTTTATGGGGACTTTGGTTAATTTAATCTATTTGAAGTCTAGAGGAAGTTTTAACTAAATGTGAATAGGTCCAGGAAACTCACCCCAAAAAGCCAGAGAAAAAGCAAGAGTAACAATGATATTATAATTCTAACTGGCACATGTGGTAAAATTTGGTAAATTCACACTGCACAGCAAACTTGTTAATAATGGAGCAAAGAGGAGGCTTCTTGGGTACTTTGGACAGGTGTCAGAATAGGTAGGATAGTATAGAATTGTATATTGGTAAGCCTATGGCTTAGTATGTGTAATAACTTACCAAAATACTTAACTCACCAAGAACTTAGCATCAATAATACAAATCAAATGAATTCAGCTGCTCACATGAAATCTAATAAGAAAGCAACAAAAATGTAACTTGGAAGAAAAGCAATGCCCTTCATGTACAATTTTCATTTTTCAGGCTACTTCCCCTTGGATATAACACAATCTTCACATACTATCACATGACTTGCTGCAATTCATTAAACGCGTGACAATATTGACAAAAACACAATGTTGATGAAACTTAGAAGTAGAAATTTGGAAGTACAGAGAGAGCATACCATAACCTTGAGTCGTTAGGCATTTCAGAGAGCGCATCTTAATGAGCTCAACCGCAGCTGTTTTCTGCCCCAGTAAGCTGTTTTTGTGAGGTAGCTCAAATGACACTCATAATTGATCACATCATGGGTAAAAGGAAAACCTCTGTAACCATCTTACCATTTGCACTGTATCAGATTGTCCCATAACTGCAAAGCCTCAAAGATTTTAATTGCCTCCCCTACCAAGCCACAGCTCAAAAGGAGTTCACCATATTCCCTACACAGTCACGAATTAGTTTTGGAAAGCTCTCACAAGCACACAATTGAAACAAAAAAATATTATCAAAATAAGAAATATAATGTCATCCAGGGGGAAGATAACTCACTTTTTTAGAGTTGGAATTGTAGGGAAATTAGCTACATAGCAAAACGGAATCCTCCGTGCCACTCCAGGAAAAGACTTTTCAAGATTCTCGACCTGAAATATGGAATCTGCAACCATGAAATGGCCTCCCAAAAACGTGAATAAGCACTATATAACTGAAAATTTATCAGATGGTTGCATATCTTACCAGCTTTCCCATCATCTCTACTGCGCGAAGTTTAGTGTTGCTACGAGTTGACTCCCAACGTACACGCAAGAGGTTACAAAAAAATTCTAGCTAGATCAAGATAAGCAAGAAACAGTAAGATTGATACATGCAACCTCTGCAAAAACACTATAGTGTCATTAACAAAAGCATATGATAGTTCTTAAACTGTTGACTAGCAGTATAGATAATTAAACTATTGAATTGAAATGTTTTGAAAACTCGTAGTCAATTCAAAGCAAAAAGAACCCTTGAATCGATGGATCAGTTAGTTGCATATTTCAAAGCTCCACAACAGATACTATTGTCCTTAAAATGGATAAAACATTCTTTATGTTGTTCTATTCAAAACAAAACACCGGTTCTGCTCACTTACAGTAAACAATGATGATGGCTGAGAATCAATTGCCTCGACAAATGGAGCAACATCCCATTCTGAAACAGAATTGCAAATGTCAATAACCTAAGAAAGGTGATATCGCAATTACCATGAGACAAGAATCATTAGTGTAATAGGAATGATTAGGCTTCAGCTCGAAGGCAACTTACTTGTCAATTCGTCATGCTGAGAGCCTTTCTGAATCATATAGCAATGGGTCAAGATAACTGCTTGTTGGGTTGGACTTAAAAGAGAAGGACCACATATCTCATCTTGCAGCAACGCGGTTCCAACTTTACATCCCTTATCGAACAATATCGGTTTCTTAAGTATATCACACGATTCAGACTCGTCTGTTTTTTGTGGATCCAAACTATCTTCAACAAGTTTAGACAGTGGATTATATCTCGCCGAGGAACCACCACCACCATTGCTTAATGAGGTTCTGTTCAAAAGAAGCACCCTCTGAGCCGTAGGTTTTACTTGAGGATCATTACGATATCCAAGAACTCCAGTAACGGATAACTGAAGCCCTGCAGCAGCTTCAGCTGAACCGATATGCTTTCTGGTAGTTCAAGAATGCCTCATAAGAAAACACACCAAGAATCATATAAAGGGAAAGAATGCCTACTCAACCAACAGACTAAGCCCATACCTTGCTGAATCAACAAGTCCATAGAGCCGCTGTATAATTCCAGCCTCCAAGTGGGCAACCGAGACAAGAGTAGAAGCTTCTTCACCAAGTAAGTTAGCACCCCAATAGTTTGACACTTTTTCCACGGTGCCAAAATGATTTAGTGTTTCGCTCACAGATACTTGCAACAGATCAAAAAGTAAAGAAGACGGCTGGCTTAAAACTCTCTGTTCAGTAAATAACAGCCTAGAGAGCCACCATGAAGTGCTTCTGACCGCATATGTAGAAGAAACACTTCCTTCACATAACAAATCTTTTGTCTTCATGACCAAAATTTTAGCCAAAACTATATACTGCAGAACAAATGACAAGGGTTAACAATTCCAATCTCAAAAAACACCACTACTCATTACTAACACTTACTCCTAGCATTGTATACATATACATACACACAGGTATACATAAGGAGCACCAACAACAAAAAACTAAGACTCTGAACAAGGAAGTATTCATTCAATTTCCTATCAATACATAAACATCTAAATCTAGATCATCACATAAACATGAATTCTTCATTGTTCAATTAAAAGCTACACCAGTACCAGAAGGTTAGAGCACATCCCATGCAAGTCAGCTCCCTCGGACATAAGCTGGTTCCGTGACCACGTCTCCCAGTCTATCATGTTGCTACCTTCAGCAAATTGGAATGGCAGAGGCGGTGAAGATACCTCATCCAATGGTCTGCATCCAGCGGCACTTTAGAGATTAAAAACAATGAATGAACTGACACATCCAGATTGTCCAATTAAAACCTATCTTTTCAGAACCAGATCAAAAGTTAGACTCCAATAAGTTATTGGTTCATGTTTCAGTAGTTCATCCTTATAGATACTATGGTCAATCATTATTTAAAATCCATATCATCAATAATCAGAAGTTCTCACAAAATCTTCTAAAGTGCCTCACAAATCAAACCGTCTGTGGTACTTAATCACAATCTAATCATCCAAATACACAACCCCTAGTACCATGAGTCTACACTGCACAAGTATCACTAATTCACTACTAATAAAAATCATTGACTCCACCATCAAAACTTACAAACCAAACCCCAAATGTGTTCTTATGAACGTTTCCCTAAAATAAGAACCCGTCAAACGCTCGAACCGCCCCGATCCTGACAGTTCATTGGTGGATCACTGAAAACTCTGGGGCTTCACTACTGACCGCTCGACCTAATGTACCGACCTGCTTCTGCCGGACAGCAGTTCTTGGTAATGGACGGTTCAGCTCGGTTCTTATAGTTATAGTAAAGACCAATCCTCATTAAGAAACCTATCCTACGGATTCATTTTCACCGCAAATGTAAACTCTAGCTACACAGACGATCGAATTAAATATGACGTTCCAAACCCTCAAGTCTGAAGGAAATATAGAAATACCCGGTAATATTGGATTGAGTGAAGTAGAAAAGCGCGGCAACGCCAATACACAACACGAAAATCGCTCTGCACGCAATTTCGTCAAAATCGTCGCTACCAATTCCACTCATCACGAACCTTTCAACGTGTGCCAGCAACTTGGAGCAAACCTGATCATCGGCGTCATTCTCATTCTCCTCAGCAACGCCAAGGGAAAGGAGCTCAGTAGCCACATCCAGGGACAGAGCTTGGAGATAGTCGCCGTCCTCGATATAGCTGAGAACTTGATTGATAGATTCGTGTTGCTTGCTGCTAAGAGAAAGGACATCGGACGGTGAAGATTGGCATTGAAATAGAGAATCCATGGATGGAGGACAGTATGTGCAACGAAGGAGACGCAGCTCGTATCTACGGAGAATCTCCCGCTCCGGGTAATGTAGTAGTTCAGAAATAGGAGCTTCCCCCATTTATGGTTTGGTGGAAGAAGAGAAGCTAGAAAGTTGCAGCTTAAAAGCGGTAACGGGTGGGTTTGTTCCTCCTTTACTTTCGCATACAGTGCATAGTGCATTAGGGACTTGCTCGAACTTAATCTGTGTTCAACAAGTAATTATTCCTAATTCCTTTGATTGCAAACAAGTAATTTGGTTGAATTTCATTATGATAGTTTGTTTTATGAGTAATTTGTAACGTGGAAGGCAAGTTAATTAGTGCAATTTGTGGTATGGGTAATAGGGGTGGGCATTGGGTGGGTCGGGTGGATTTTGACCATAAAATGCACCCACCCGCGCTTAAACGGAGTGATAATTTTTAACCCACCACCCACCCACATTTAGTCTCGGGTTGGGTCGGGCGGATGGTGGATGATGCGGGTGGGTTTGTGGGTTCACCCACATCACAATGTATATAATATAAAGGAGTCAACTTGACATGATAATAGGTGAAGAAAATCATCGAGGGAAACAAGAAGTTGAAATAGGGCGAAAAATATCGAATTAGTTCTTAACTTGGATAGAAATTCTATTATGAAAGAGTTTTCTACAGATTGAGACGATTATTAGGTGCAAGGAACTAATGAAAATAATTCCACAAAGGAAAGAGCGGTGATCTAAGCACAAGAATTAGAGGGAAAAGTAAAGGGATGAAGAGGGGATCTCTATTTGGAAGGTTGGCTTTGAGGTTCAAACTCCAGGAGCAGTCCGAGTTTATATCTAACGTCTCCACTCTCCTCTCTCTAGCGCCAACGACTTTGATCTTTTTGCTGTTGGGTTGAGCGGGTCACCCGCACACTCACCCACAACCCACCCACCACCCGGCGGATGGCTCCCAGCGCAACCCGTCACCCACCCACAGACCCACCCACTTAACCAAATTCGGGTCAAATGCGGGTGGGTCGGCCCAAACCCGCGGATAATCCGCCCGCATGCCCAGCCCTAATGGGTAATGTGTAGTGTCCACCTATAGTGGATCAGGAAGAAATTTACAAAAAATTTGAAATGCATTGCTGGTAAAAATCTTGAAAAAGTGAAAATTCACTCTGTCCCTTTTAGCGACGCCGTTGTTCAAATTCGTTGGTATAACTATTTCCAACTATCTGAACATAATAGGAGAGGATCGGGTGAGTAACTCTCCATAATCCAATCATCCGCGCACTCTGTAGATTTCTCTTTTATTTTATGGTATGAAGTTGGTAACGAGATGTATGAAATTTTTTTCTAAAAAAATATTGAAAATGGATCTCATTTTGTATAGTACAACGAACTCATTTCATCTGTGCAAAAAAAAAATTAATATCCAAGTTAGAACAAAGAAGAAAAGAGTCGATTAAGAAAACTAGAGAAAATAAAAAATCTTTATTTCTCAGCTCTTTGATATGTGGCCCACTTAAAAGAAGGGCCCATATCTTGTTATGCAAGTTATGCACCACAAGACTTTTTTTTTTTTTTTATAGTGAAAGTGGTAGTTTCATTGATAAAACGAAACAATGTACAGAGTTGAGTTAAACTCGATGAAAAGAAAAAAAAGGCTACTAAAAACAAGAGAAAACTAAAGCTAGTATTAAGGCAGTCCAAAAAACAAGGAAACTAGATCCAAACATTTGGACTCCCAAGCCCAAACCTAGCCCTAGCCCAAAGAAGCCCAATCACCCAGGGAAGGCCGCGCGCTTGCTTCCCCGCCACATCTTCTCACTGCTCATCTTCTCCCTGCCAGCAGAAACAGATCCTTCGAAGGTGAACGAAAGAAAATGGAGCGTCGTCGTCGTCATCAAGGAAGGAGTGTCATCTAACCAGAGAACGAAAGCATAAGGACAAGACGGGGAGAACCAAATGCCAAGTAACTCCAAGGTCCACCTTCAAAAAGAAAGTGGAGAAGCAGCCACAGAAACTCGGACAAAAGAGTGGCGAAATCCCAATCGTCGGAACCACCACCGATCTGTGCAACGGCCAGAGCACAACCACAATAATGACTTCCCTACTCACAAGCTCTCTGATGCTTTATCCAAGACAACATAGGCCTGACATATGCAAATCATCCCCAGTTTTAGATGAAACATGTGGAGGTAGATAGAAGAACAGAGAGGAGCAAGCAAACCGAAAAAATCGGCTCCCTCTAACACCCACCAGGAGTAATCACACACAGATTTGGGAACCCAGCTTGGTGGGAAGCAAAAGACATCTCTACTAAGAGAGGAAGAAAGATTCAATCCCTATTGGAAGGAAAACAGAAGAAAAACAACACATGCAGCAGACATCTCAACCAAGGAGAGAAAGACGAAAGGGAAAACAACCAAGGAGAAGGAACAGGGAACAAGGAAAAGGGAAGAACCATCAACAAAGAGGAAGAGATTGAAATTTGAGGGCCACCGTCGGTCCCAATTTGGAAGCCGACGGCAACCCCATTGTTAATTTGAAATTTGAAAACTCTTCTCTTTAGAGAGAAGGCAGAGGAAGGATTCGTTCCCTCTTCTGTAGGTGGGATTTCTTTTTTGTTATGCACCACAAGACTATGCACCCTATCTAGAGTCGTTTATAATTGATGCGAAACCTTGCAAGGGCATCCACCAACGGTTAAGATGACTGCTGATGTAGCCATGCAATGGCCTGTTTAGCGACAATTTTGATGAGGTTGTGGAAACCGATGCCGGGATCTCTAGTGAGTAGTGACGATTTTAATGATTGCTACAACCTTTAAAAAAAAACCTGTTGTGAACACTTTTCCTTGTAGTGATATCACTATCATATCAAGATTTTATCAATTCATATTTACATCATATTACTATGATATCGTACCACTGTTAGCGGTAATATTGTGACATGAAAGTGATATGATGACCATAAAATAATTTGCTCGAAAAAAAATACTAAATGGATATCATCTTGTAGAACACTAAAAATATAATTTTTCGATGCAAATTTTTTGAAATCCGATGTAAATGAATACGTTTGTCAAGGACCATTTGATCTCAATAACTCAAGTTGGTAGAGGTTGAATTGTGGATCATATACCATTTTCACTAACACCCCCCCCCCCCCCCCCCCCCTCAAACGAAAGCCGTATCATATGGGCTTGAAGTTTGCACAGGTTCAGACACTATGTGCTTAACAAAACAAATGGGAGTTATCGGGATTCGAACAAAAGACCTATCAATCACAGAATACTCTGCTATCATGTCAAGAACCAATTGATCCTAATAACTCGAGTTGTTAGAAGAGGTTCAAGTGTGGATCATATAAAATTTTCATTAACAATGGTACGTTTAATTTTCGTTGGAGATTTTAAAAGAGCTCCACAACCTCCTGAAAATTCTCTCCCAGTTAAGAAAAGAGAAGGAGAACACACAATATTTGCGATGACAACAAGACTAGGGGTGGGCAACGGGAAACGGGTATTTGAGTATACCTGTTCCCGTCCCGTTTTTTTAGGGTTACGGGTACCCAAATACCCGTAAATTTTTTTATGAAATGGGACTTGGGATCAATAATTTTACATTGGGTACCCGCGGGATACCCGTCAATACCCGTTTGGGTAATACGGGTACCCGTAATACTCATTAGCCAAAAACACAAGCTCCAAAACCATCACACCTGTATCTAAATTCACCTATAATTAAGCTCGATATATTTTAGCCCAACAATTGAGCCATTTAACGGCCCTAGTTGGGGTTTCTGCACCTTTTTCCCTTTGAATTCGAACAATTCCATTATTAAAAGGAACCTGAGCTAGCAGTTGCTCTCATGAGGCTTTAATCACAAGAACTTAACTCAACCAACCAGACCCTTTACCAGAGCCATGAATATTGTCATTGTTCTGTTTTTACTTTTGGAACTCAAAAATTGATACTTCACACGCTTGAGAAAGGAGTAATGCACCCGTTTTAATCAACATAAAGAAGACATAAATCTAAAGAATGATTATAGTTATGTTGGTATGGTTATATTGGTTGTCGTGTTAATTTGGTCGATTTAATATGTTTGGGTTACGTTTTTGAAAACAAATTATATTTTTGTCATTTTTGGTATTATATGGGTACCCGTTATCCGTCCCGTACGGGTAACGGGTACCCGTTAACCCGTACGAGTTTGGAAATGGGATAGAGTTTTCTCTCCAAATGGGAACGGGTACTCATTTCAAACGGGACGGGTACCCAATCCCGTCCCGTTTCCCACCCCTAAACAAAACCCGAACCCACGGGTACCCACCCGACTCAACCTGGTCAACATGGGTAAAACTGTAAAACCCGGGTTACGGGTTTTGGATCGGGTTCGGGTTTAGGTAAATCCACCCCATGGGTACCCGGCCACACACATATAATTACTTTCCCGGTATATTTAATATTCTAAATAATATATATTTCTTAAATAACTAATATTCTTTATGTTTGTGGAGATATGTATAATTTGTTCTTTCTAATTGTTTAGAATGAAGTTGATATTATGAAGTGGAGAGTGAAGAAACTTAGTTAACGAGGAAGAAGCTTTCAATTAATCTTATTGTTTATAGATGTTTATTTTTAATTTTGAACAATTTGTATTGATCATTTGCGGTTTGCTTGTATGTTTAGATTGGTGTTTTTTGTATGATTAATTTGTATGAGAAAATTGATGTTAAACTTTTATTTTGAAAGAAACTTGTTATTGTAAATTTTTTACCACAAAAACCCACGGGTACCCATAAACCCGCGGATACCCAGCGATTTGGATTGAGTTTGAGTTTTTCAAACCCAACAGGTTTTACCCCTAATTTTTTTAGCGGATAAATCCATGAGTTTTAATTTGGGTTTGACAAAACCCGCCCCAATCCAACCCATTGTCATCCCTACACAATATACAATACACTCTCCTGCGAACAAAGCAGAGCTTATTTTTATCAGTGACAAAAATACCCAGTGCATCCATAACTTTTAGATCTATTGCGCTATCAAACTGAACCATTAATCATGATTTTGCAGGGGTTTAGGTTTTGTATGTGA